TATACAGGCTGTAATGGGCTCTGCACTGGCTGTTACCACTGGCCAATGAGATCTGATGGCTATAATAGAGAGCTGGATGAAAATACCAACTCTCTTCTCAGCAGCAGTCAGAGGAAGTGACTAAAATGATAGGAATTACTAGGAAAACAGGGAAGTAAATAGCAAACAGTATTCTGCCGTGACACAGGGTGCATCCACGTCATGAGTGGCTTGCCACTGACTCTGGCAGGAGAGGGGAGGATGGGGAAAGGTTCAGGGAGAGGCAAGAGGGATGGTCAAGGTATGGAAGTGGTTCTTGCACAGAGAAGCTAAATAGGATAGGATTTTGAGGTAATGCATAAAATGATTGCTGGCTGCTTTTTCCAATTAAAAAAGCTTGTGGGTATCAAGTACAGCTAAGAGACAGCACATCTGAAGTGGGCTGAGGATGACTCTTTATTTAACAGGATGAGTAGCTGAGCTGTAAGTCTTTGACGATGTTAAACTTCTCACCTGCTCAACATGCAATTGAAGGGCCCTGTGGAGTGTAGCAACACAGCTGCATCCCAGTGTCCCCATCCTCTGCCTCGTCTGTCCACATCAGAGGACACAGCCATCCCCAGCTCTGGTGTATCCCACTGGGGTGACAGAAAAAGGGAGAAAGCACATTTTTTTCCAGCCCGGATTGCTGGTTGCACATGTCCAGATCCTTTCTGCCTTTAACCCTTCCCACTTCTCATGACAAATGGTCTGATGAGAGGTTTTGGCATTAAATCCATTCCCTGTGTCTGTGAAGTGCAGTGACTGAAACAGAGGATGGGATGACCAGTTATTAGGAATTAAATAACACTTACAGTCTTGCATCCCCAGCCTTGTGTGATAAAATCTCACAGAGACAAGGAAGTGACTCCAGCATCTCCCTGTTCATCCTCTCTGCCTTGCCAAAATTGTCTCATAGAAACACATAGTCTCACATAGACTTTCTCACATAGACCCTTCTGCTCTCTTTTTCCCAAGTTGGGAGTGCCTGAGAGGTGTTATTTTCGTGATGCTGTCCCCAGAAAAATGCACCCTAAGAACCAGTTGTACCTTCTCAGATGTAGCAAGGACTGGAGAAACCAGGTGACTTGTGTACTTCTCTGATGACACACAAGCCCTGCCCAGAAAAGTTGGTGATTACTTAGCTGTGTTCACGTGATAGGAAACAGCAGAGCTGGAAAGCACGAGATGTTTCCAAGACAGGGGCCCAATGTACAATAGCTGCCCTGGTCCTCCTGCCTGTGGCAAGTGCCTGTGCCACGTTGTGTGACCATCAAAATGAGGAGTTTATATTCACAGCATTAGGCATGTAGATTTTATTTGGGCGTTGAGAGCCTCCCAGAGGAGGCTGAAACCTCTGAGCTGTGGGTGAATGTCTGGGAGAGTCTGTTGGATGCTCCAGAAGCTGGTGGGGGTCCAGGCTGTGCTCTTGGAGCTGTGCCTGAGGACCCTCTCCTGGTTGGCAGCGTGTTCTGTGGGATTGGGCTTGAGGGAAGCCACCCTGGCTGTTTCTGCATCCCAGCATCACTGAGGCCAAGCTGGTAAGGGAAAAGGAAAGGGAAGCAACCAGGTGAGCTGGGAGCACTTTGGAATAGAACCCACACAGACTTTAAGGGCTGTTTTGGTTATTCTGCAGGAGATGGTGTCAGCTCAGATAGGCTGAAGTGGCTCTTGGCGACAAAACCCGGAATCCTTGCCTGGAAGCATGGGGGAGACGAGATTTCCACCCACTTCCCTGGCAGGTGAGAAGCTCTCAGGGTGGCCTTCTCCTCTCTGCCAGCTTTTTGTGCCACCCCTGCCAGTGTAATGGCAGGTAAACAGCAGTTTTGTTGCCAAAACAGCTCTGTGTGAGCAGCAGGTGGACAAGCAAGACTGAACCGTCTGCAGTCCTGAAGAGCCTGAATTTAGAAAGATTCCCAGCAGTCATCAGCAAAAGAAGAGCAAAAGGTGAATTTGCTCTGTGGTTGCCAGCTCAGTTCCTCCTCTTCTCACTGCCTGTGCTGTGTTTCTCCAAGGAACTCATCCCGGCTGGCTCTGAAACCGGAGAAAGTGATGCTCTGACCGGTGCTTCACTTGGCAAAGCTGTTTGAGAATTAAAAATAGCAGCAGTTTCCCTCCACATTTAATCTCTCTCTGATTGCCTCCAATGGCCACCAATATTTCTGCTTCATTATATATGATGTGCAGTGACAAAAGTGGGGTCTTGGGTGAAATATTAACTGTGCACAAGCGGTTTGCTCGTAATGAACCGTCTACGCGGAGATCTCTAACTACAGTGTAATTATCAGTGAATAATTCATAGTGAATAATTTAATAATTTTAGCCCTTTCTGCCGAAATCAGACAGTGACTCATGATTTCTGAGAATTATTCTTAGAACACTTTAATGGTGACTATTTTACAGGGTGAGGTCAATCAGAAATATTTGAAGTTTGGCTGTGGCAGGCGGATCTGTTCCTTGGCCAGACAGGAACAGGCTTTTGTTACAAAAACTTGAAAGAGGAGAGATAAAAATGATTATCTTTTGTTCAAACTTGCTGCTCTGAGCTCTGCTATTCTTGAGTGGCTTTGCCGGCGGAATTGGGGCGCTGGAATGTTTGCGGCGAGATCGATGCACGGAGGGAGATAACACAGCTGCTGGAATGGGGTGTTTTCATCATTTATCCCGTTCTCATAATCTGAAGTCCACAAACAACAGGCTTTAAGCTCATCCTTGCTGTAGGTCTGCAAACAGAGCCTGTAGGAAGAGAACAGTGAAAAAAGTTTCCTTCTCCTGTGGATCAGAACGACACCAGCTCCAAGATGAGAGAAAAAGCCTAACGTAAAATGTGTCTCCCAAGCCTTTTTCTTGGAGAACTTTCAGACCCATTCCCCAATTCCCTTTTTTTCCTGAGAGCACTGCCTTCGCTTCCCAAAAACATATATGATCCGTCACAATTTATAACCTCTGGTTTAAGGAGGACAGGCCAGACAAATCCATCTCTATAAAAGCTTCTTTTTTTATTGCAGTTAATACACACCTTTTGCCTTGTGTAATGGAGCTTTCATTTGGAAAAAAAAAAATAACTTTGACATCTTCCTGTTTTATGTCTTATTTCTCTTTGCACGTAACATCCCATTCTGTTCATGTGAGCAGGGCAGTGTGGGCAACTCTTCTTTCTCTGTATCTCCTTTTCAGTTGCTGTTTTGCCCAAACCTCTTTCTCAGCACCGGTGTGTGGCACGTTTAGGTATTACTCAGCTGCACAGATTTCCTCATTTCCTTCCCTTCTTTCTTATCAGAGATGTCAATGTTTTGCAAAGTGCTGTGGAGTCACCATGACTTCAGTTTTCCGGGATAATTTTGCTGGGGTAATTTTGCTGGTGAGAAGCATCCTGTAGATGATGCAAAGGGTTTTTAGGTGATTGTTGTGACTCTTGACATCACCTCCTATGCTGACCTGCTCTCAAACCAGGTCCCATGGTGGATATAACCCAGTGCTTTATGAGAAGGGATGCTGGGGTGCAATGCTGCTGAGAAGCACCCATGGGATGGGTCCCTCCCCGGGCAGGGGACAGGTCCTGTGCATCCAGTTGCTGTCCAGCATCACCACGTCCTTCCCCCCTGCTGTGTCCCCTCCTTTCCCCACGTTTTTCTCCATCCACCTCCGACTCTTGTATTCCTGGAGGAGCTGCAGAGCCTCCCTCTGGCTGGATTCCCATGGAGAAGAGGCAGTCTCCTTTGACTTGGGCGTGTTAGACTGTAAAAGAGCTGACCCCACCAGGGATCAGGCTTGACCCCAAACTGTTAAGGAAAAATGCAGACAATCCTGTAGCTCCATCCTTTCCCCCTCTGTGCCCTCTCTCCGCCTTCACAGGACCCAGGAATGCTACTGCTGACTCTGGCAGCCCTCAGCCCCATCAGGGCTTTGAAGTTTTCCTGTACAAAAAAGAGGGGATGAAGACCTCAAGAATCACACAGAATGGCTTTTGGAACTTTCTAGGAAAGGAGCACTGCCATCACAATTACAGCAGGCTTCAATTTCAAAGCGTTTTTGTTATTTTGCTCCTGAATAGGAAAAATCAGAGGCCCTAAATGGGTCCAGGAGAGCTCAACCCAACCTCTGTGTCCTGAATTGGTGGTGTGTTGTCAAGGACACATGCCAAGCAGTGGCTTAGGAGTCACTGCTTTGTGCTGGGAATAAGGTGGCCTTCAGGGGAGAGGAGGGCTGCAACCACAGGGAATCAGGTTTCTGTTTTCCAGGTAGCGTTGGGAATCTCTGGCTTAAAAAAAACCCCAGGCAGCAAATGAGCTGCCACATAGGTTTGCTGCAGCACTTTGAAGCTAAGAATGTGACTTGCACACTGCCTGTTTGAGAGCTCAGCTGGAGCTTCGATAATCCGAGTTTAGAGAAGTAAAGGGGAGAAAAAAACTCCACTAAAACATGAGTTTCATCCTTTTGTATCACTTGATGTGGAAAAAAACCCAGTATGTCAGCACCTCCCGAGGTCCCCACAGTGCTGCTGAAACATTAGATCTGCTTTGAATCCAGCTGGATGGAGCTAGAAAAGAAGGCTGTGGAGAGCTCCGGGAAATGTCCGCTGCATCCGACAGCTCCCTGGCCTGCAGCTTCTAAGGGGCTAAAGTAATGTCCTGTGTTCAAAAAAATGACTGAAATGATGAAAAATGGGCATATTTGTCCCCTTCTTCTGGTCCCTGCCAGGGCAGCTATCTCTGGGGAGGAGGAGAGTTGAGGTGTCCGGTGCCCTGAAAAATAGTGGGGTGCAATGCCCCTGTGAGCAAAGAATATGCAGCTTCTTCCCTGGAAGCTCTTCTCCAGGGAAATCCAACCCTAAGAAAAAAAAAAAAACAAACCACCAAGTTTCTGGAGGAAAAATGAAGGAAGAAATCAGTGGAGAAATGGCCTACCAGGTCTGTGTCTGGGCATGACAAAGACCAAGCTGATGCAATCTGGGGATTTTTGTTCTGTCCAAAAGAAAGAACCTGAAGGCCACAGTGAAACAGATGTGAAATCCCGTGGAAAAGTGAAAAACTTGATGTCAGTTCCAGGTTCTTTTCTCTTTCCATGCCATGTTTTCCTGCTCAGTGATCCTCTCAAAAGTGGTACATCCCAGCTCCGATTTCCAGCGTTAATCAGATGTATCCCAATACTTTGCTTGGAAAAGTTCTATCTCCTGGGTGTCTCCAGAGTATTAGAGGGATTTTTGTTCTCCAAATCAAGGTGAATAGGGCACCCATCTCACTTCACTGAGTGTGACAATTCTCTGGACGCTGCATTAGATATTAAAATTACCAACTGGGTATTACACAGAGCATGTTGACATGGAAAAAAATAGGCTCTTTTTGTGAGTAGAAAGAAATAGGCTGTGTGCACTCATACGTGCTCCAGATCAGGATACTGCATGATTGTGAAAGGGATATGAGGTGGAGCATATCTGGGGTATTGGTATGTAAATGAACACTTTAATTATTGCAGTCTGATTGCTGATTTCCCATGTCTGGTGCTGCCAGAGCACCTGGATCCTATAGGGATGTGGAGTTTATCTGGATCAGGTGAGCAGCTGGGATGTCATAGCTTCTGTCGACATAGCTGGTCAATACATGGAAAATACCTAACCTGGGGTGGGAAATGGAAAAGTGACCATGATTTTGGTGATGTGACGTGAGGGTCTGAAGACCATTCCTAAAAACTGGAGCTGAGGGAGAGCAGGGAGTGCCAAGTGCTCCTGGGAGCTCCAGGCTGATCCCCTCCAGGCATTCCCTGCTTTCATCGTGCCTCAGGCAGAGCATTTCCATGCCAAATATTGACTGGAGTGTCACACAGATGTCCCACACATCCTCCTGGTCCCCTCACACCCCGGTCCCTGCAGCTTTGCTGGGAGGTGGGAAGCCCCCAACCATGCGAGGGCTTTGCCTCCTCATTATCTCATGGATCCCCCCCGTCTGTGCCCTGGGCTTTTCACAGACCCCCATTATTTCCAATCCCCTTCACTTGTCACAAGTAATTTGGCAACTTGCTCAGACAAAACAGCTCTGGGCTCTGCCAGCCCCGACGAGGGGCCCGGGTCCTTTCAAACTTTCACCCCCCTCCTCCATGCCGGCTCCCCTCTCTCTGGGCAAAGCCGCTGAGGGAGCATTCAGCAGGCAGATCCCAGCCCCAATTAGCAGCCCAGGAATTTTAATTAGTCGAGCAGTCAATTATATCACTGGACACCCCTTGCCCTCTCCCCTCCGTCCCCTCTCTTCCGCCCTGCAGCCATCGCCCCGTGGCCCCACCGTCCCTGGGCAAAGTGCCTTCCCCTGCTCCGAGCCCTTTGGAGGGGCTGGCAGCTGCCAGAGGGGCCCAGCTGTCCCAGATCTCAGCAATGGCCGATGGATTTGTCCCCTCTGAGGCACGGCCTCATCCCTGACCTCCGTTTGAACCGGGGCTTTGCACCCTCCCAGGCCTGCCCTGCTAGTGGCAGTCTGAAAAAGAGGGAAATCGAGTAGGAAAGAGCTTTGGATTAGTGCAGCCAGAGGCTTGGGCTCCGTTTTCTTGGTTGGATGATGGGGAGGTTTGGAGAGATGAGCCTCTCATTCACTGCATAGATGGCTCTTGATGCTGATCTGCCTGTCAGCTCTCCTCTGAGATTACCTTAGAAGTTGGGGCACCAGGGGAGCTGCCAGGTTGTTAATACTGTCACTTGCCTATCAGAAAGAATCCGTTCAGATTTGATCTGCTATTTTATTTGCTTCTTAAAATTGTCTCCTCTCCTGCTCTGGCACCACACAGCCAGCAGTGCTCAGGGCTTTGCTGCATCTGCAACTGGGCTGAAGGGCACTTGTACCCACCACTGCCTCCCGACCTTGGTGGGGCATCAAATACTCGTCCTAAACATGCTAGCCTTTGCCATTGATTAAAATTTTCCTAATTCTGGTGTTTCTTATAGTTCTGCTCTAAGTATTACTCTGTTGCTGTAAGATCAGGCTACACTGAGTCTCAAATCTGCACCAAACCATGTCCTAAAGGCACTGGGTGTATTGTACAGGGTAACGTAGCTGATGGCAGGACTCAGATTCTGCCCAGTCACTCCCAAATTTTGGTCACAGAAGATGTCCCAGTTCTTTCCTCCACAGCAAATGCCTCTTTCCGGGGAGTGAAGCAGCTCCGGTTGTCCATCTGTCCATCCCATCTTGATCCTGTGGCGGGATCTAACCTTGTCTTACACAGCGCCTTTAAGCCCGATCTGTGTAAAGCTGAACCTCTGACCTCTCTGGGCGGAGGTGCGAGCGCGGTAATTGAGTTGTAGTGACACATGCTGGTTATCTCCCGCAGTAATTACCGGGTGTTTAACGGCGGCTAGGCCGGCGGAGGGGGAACTCCTCACCCACAACTTGGGCTTCTGCGAGCAGGAATGTGGAGCGGTGCCACAGGGACGTGTGCGCAGATGTTTTGGGAGGCGCAGGCAATTACCCCGCGCACCTCGCTCCCCTCGGACCGGGCTATTATGTATCACTGGTGAAATGACTGGTAGCTGATGATACATGATGGGGAAGAGATTCTGGAGCCATCTGGCTGTACCGAGTGTGATATGGGGAACATCTGGTAGGCACGTGCAAAAATAGGATTATGAGCAAAAAAAAAAAAAAAAAAAAGTGGAAACAACATCTTGCCGTCCTGCTTTGATCGCCCTCCTCTTCTTACTCACTGTGGTATCAGATGTTCTCGGGTTGCACGTCAAAGTGTTTTTCTCTGTCATCAAATAGATACAGTTTAATAGATGGGGATTCTAATGAGCTCCAAGCACAAGGAAAACAAGCGGGTCTGATCCCAATTAAATGGGGAGGGGAAAAGTCTGGAGGAGAAGCCAAAGGCTGTGAAGGAAACGTTGCTTTGCTGTTGGTCATTCACCCAGTTAGTGGTGAAGAGAACAGGATGACTCCCATGACATGATAACATTGCTCTCCTGGAAGGTGCAAGGGACCGGTAGAGCTTCTTGATTTCAAACCAGCTGGATGTTAAGTGGATAAAATGCTTTGCAGAGTCTCAGATGAGATTTCCTACCTGGGTAAAAAAAAAAAAAAAGGCATGAAGTGAATAAAGTGGAGAGGAGAAGACCATTGCTAGACTAGGAGAAAACAGCTGATCCCAAACTTCCCTGACAAGTCTCTCTCTTGCTTTGATTGATCTCTGTGAGGAACAAAGCTTTGCCAGGCTGCCAAGTGTCTTGTATACCCTGTCAGGCTGGTTTGAGTGCCTCTGTCTATTGTGAATGCGAGATCTGAGGGGAACACATCTTGCTTGAGATTTAACTGTGTTCCTTCTGTTTCCGTCAACTCAAGCTGTAAATATTCCAGGATTCGAGCAGAACTGGCCATTTTGTAACTCACAGGTGATGCAGAGAAGGACAAGCTTTGTCTCCAAGGGACTGGTAACAGTGAATTGTCAATTTTCTCATTAAATTAAATAGAAGTGATTCACGAGGATGCGATAACAGGCAGCACATTAACCACCTCCTTAGAAGGATGGACACGTTCAAACCACAAGAAAACCACCTTCCTTCACCTGGTGCCCTGCCTTTTACCCCATGCTGTTGGGAAAAGACCTTTGGATGTCACTAAATACTTTGATTTCCACTTTGAAAAAGGGAAGCAAGGGAGGACAGGCACATTCAGCTCCTGGGACTGGTGTTTGCTGCCTTCTGAAGCTTCCAGCAGAGACAGAGAATCTGCTCCTCATGTAGGGGGAAATAAAAGCCCAGGAGTTATTAAGTGTGGGCAAAGTGGCTCATTTTGTGCCTGCAGAAGGGGATGGGGGGGTGTGTGCCTTCTCTATCCCCCTTCCTTCCTTCTTCAGGGCACAGATTCCTATAAACACCCATGATGTGAGATGAGGATTAGCTCTTTTCTCAGCAGTTCAGCCTTCACTTAGGACCCTAAATAACAGCCAGATTCTTTTGTAAGGGCACTACATCCAGCAGCTCTTAATATTGCTGGACTCACTTGAAACTACTGGCTGTAATGGCTGCAATTATGAATTAATGGCCTTAAATTCGCCATCAGACCTAATGCCTAGTTTTTCTGTCTGGTTCTTGTTTCCATTCTGTCTTTTCGTTGCTGTTCCACAGCCACAATTATTTGTCATTAGTCATTAATCTTGAAAGCATCAGCTTTATTTTCTCTTATTTTCCTCCAGAAACTGTAGCCTGCTCCCAGGTTTTATTGTTCACCGTTTTCCATCACTCTTTCTCTTACCTCAATCTAATCAGTTCTGTACTGCTCTAAGAAGTGGGATTTTTTCCAACGGGGGAATAAAGCACCGCAGCGAATGTGCCCGAGAGATGTGTAACACAGCTGGTGCTCCCTAAACCTGCGAGGTGTTTATGCCCTGCTTACAGCCCAGCCTGCTGGGGAGGGGGGATCATCAGAGTGGTTTTCATTAGAGCTGCAATGATCCTGCACTGCTCTGCCTCTGCTTGAGTCCGGGCATGGATAATCCCTGGACAGGAATGTCCCATACTCATCCCACAGACCTCCTGCTGCACCAGGAGAACATCCACGGGGTCTTTCTCCAGGGACTCTGGCTGGTGTGGAGCTGGTGTTCTCCCTGCAGAGCCCAAATCTCATTAAAAGGCTGGCACAGGTGGTTCTCGGCTGAGATCCTGCTGGAAAATGAGGAAATAATACAAGAGGGACAAATCTCAGACTTTCGACCCACATCTGAGGCGAGAACTAATGTAAAAGAATAAGATTGTGTCTCAAAGGGTGTAGAAGAACTCAGAAACACATGAGGGTGTTTAATTTAACACTTTGCTCTTCCTCTGGGAAAGAGCTGACAGAGCTGTCTTGCCAGAGGCAGGATGAGTCCTCACTGGGAATGCAAGTGAGGATGCTGATGGATGCTGATACAGGTCACTGGTGGCTGGGGAGTTGCCCCTGGAGCTGACTAGGCCTTCTGCTGCCAGAGCATCCAGAGATCTGCATCCCTGGGGACAGTCCTGTGTGGGAGAGGAGTG